TTTTTAGATGGTAATTAAGAGTAAATTATAAAGACTTTATAAATACATTTGAAGAAGTAATAGCAATAAATGCCTCTAGCTCAGATGGTAAGGTGTATGGTTTGGGAGTGGAAGGCCACGAGTTCGAGTCCCCTCCCATTTTTTCTCTAAAAAAATCAGTTTTTTACATTATAAAGAAAGGGAATACCACATCAGCTCCCACCTCAGCCAAACAGTCCATGTGGCATGCCACCTCAGCAGGTAACCTGCTGTAAAAGGAAAAAAGGGTTAAAGTGATTACGATAGTCGGCTTCCTGTCCTTTTTCATTAATGAAATTTAATTTAGGACTAGATCATAAATTTGCCCAAAACTTTGGGACTTTTCGGATGGAGGTTCGGTGACGACAGATGTCCGAATGGTGGTGAGACGTAAGATGGAGGGTGTTAACCGGTGAAGAAAAGGGGAGTGGGGCGATGGTTTATTTTCTTTCTTTTTTAAATTAAATAAATTATAATTAAATAAAAAGAAACATAGAAAATAGAAAATAGAAAATAAAAAGAGTAAATAAATTATTTCATATGGATCAAGGACTAACCTTGATAAAAATTAAAACCATTGTTCATGGAAAAAAATTATGGCCTAAACTTAATATTTCTAAAAACCACAAAGACTATTTTTGAAGATTTATATTGTTTGAATAAAATTTACATTAAATAGGTTGAAATAAACATTTCAAAACATAACTAGAAAGTTTTTTTTTTTATTATTATTAGAAAAAGAACTCTAAATTTTATAAAAAAAAAAGGGAAATCTCCAGAAAAGTCCCAAAGTTTTAGGGCAATTTATGATCTAGTCCTAAACTAAATTTCATTAATAAAAAAGGACAGGAAACCGGCTATTGTAATCACTTTAACCCTTTTTACCTTTTGCAGCAGGTTACCTGCTAATGTGACATGCCACATGGACTGTTTGGCTGAGGTGGCATGCCTTTTCTTTATAATGTAAAAAAACTGATTTTTTATAGAAAAAGTGGGAGGGGACTCGAACCCATGACCTTCCACTCCCAAACCATACATCTTACCATCTGAGCTAGAAGCATTTATTGTTATTACTTCTTCAAATGTATTTATAAAGTTTTTATAATTTACCCTTACACTAGTTATATTGCGCATCTGTACATATTATCCCAATTATCTCTGTTAGCTTACACTGTAAATAACAATGTAAAGAAATGTTCTAAAAAATGTGATCTGCACAAGCTGATTTCCATGGTCGTTGAGTTTAATTTCATGAGTGTTCTGAAATAGATTTAAGAAATCAATCCTTAGATTCCGTATTGGATTATGCTTTCTGTTCTTTTGGTACAGATTAGGAAAATAGACTACATCGAATTAGTAAGATGCACTGATACCATATGCTATCCTGAGAACTTGAAGAATCGTCTTTAGATTTAGATCTTATTTGGGATCGATTTGGGAGAACCCATCTTTTGGGGCTACAGGCTTCAAGAACACCCATTTTTTCTCCTCCTTTGCTTCATGTCTCGTAGGAATGGAGCTAGATCGAAGTGATAATGCTCATACAGTCAAACGAAGGTTACAAATAGCTCTAAGTCTCCCAATCGAAAAAGCTCTCTAACTTTTGGAGACATGGTTTTAAACAACGACCTCAGTGCCATTCGTGACCATTCTCCTCTTCTCTTAACAAGAAGCATCTTACATAAAAGCTCTTCAACTCCATGTTTATCCCCAACCGTAGAGACATCCGCCAAAAAGACCAAAGTGTCCCAGTTGAAATCCTAGGGCATTCTCGTAATTTTTACCAAACAAAACCATTCTTTGACGAGGTTGTGAATGCGATAATCTTCGGGATTGAGCCTTGGTCAACCAGGGTTAAAACGGTCAGCTCGTGTTGGTGAAATCGGTTTCAGAGAAGTAGCAGCTTATCTTCTTGATTATGGCAGGAGATGAGAGAATCGAAGTTAGAAGAAAGATGTGGCGAAGAAGAAGGGTTAGAGGGAGAAAGATGCGAATTTTTAGATGGTAATTAAGAATAAATTATAAAGACTTTATAAATACATTTGAAGAAGTAATAGCAATAAATGCTTCTAGCTCAGATGGTAAGGTGTATGGTTTGGGAGTGGAAGGCCACGAGTTCGAGTCCCCTCCCATTTTTTCTCTAAAAAAATCAGTTTTTTACATTATAAAGAAAGGGAATACCACATCAGCTCCCACCTCAGCCAAACAGTCCATGTGGCATGCCACCTCAGCAGGTAACCTGCTGTAAAAGGCAAAAAGGGTTAAAGTGATTACAATAGCCGGCTTCCTGTCCTTTTTCATTAATGAAATTTAATTTAGGACTAGATCATAAATTGGCCCAAAACTTTGGGACTTTTCGGATGGAGGTTCGGTGACGACAGATGTCCGAATGTTGGTGAGACGTAAGATGGAGGGTGTTAACCGGTGAAGAAAAGGGGAGTGGGGCGATGGTTTATTTTCTTTCTTTTTTAAATCAAATAAATTATAATTAAATAAAAAGAAACATAGAAAATAGAAAATAGAAAATAAAAAGAGTAAATAAATTATTTCATATGGATCAAGGACTAACCTTGATAAAAATTAAAACCATTGATGGAAAAAAATTATGGCCTAAACTTAATATTTCTAAAAACCACAAAGACTATTTTTGAAGATTTATATTGTTTGAATAAAATTTACATTAAATAGGTTGAAATAAACATTTCAAAACATAACTAGAAAGTTTTTTTTTATTATTATTAGAAAAAGAACTCTAAATTTTATAAAAAAAAGGGAAATCTCCAGAAAAGTCCTAAAGTTTTGGGGCAATTTATGATCTAGTCCTAAACTAAATTTCATTAATAAAAAAGGACAGGAAACCGGCTATTGTAATCACTTTAACCCTTTTTACCTTTTGCAGCAGGTTACCTGCTAATGTGGCATGCCACATGGACTGTTTGGCTGAGGTGGCATGCCTTTTCTTTATAATGTAAAAAAACTGATTTTTTATAGAAAAAAGTGGGAGGGGACTCGAACCCATGACCTTCCACTCCCAAACCATACATCTTACCATCTAAGCTAGAAGCATTTATTGTTATTACTTCTTCAAATGTATTTATAAAGTTTTTATAATTTACCCTTACACTAGTTATATTGCGAATCTGTACATATTATCCCAATTATCTCTGTTAGCTTACACTGTAAATAACAATGTAAAGAAATGTTCTAAAAAATGTGATCTGCACAAGCTGATTTCCATGGTCGTTGAGTTTAATTTCATGAGTGTTCTGAAATAGATTTAAGAAATCAATCCTTAGATTCCGTATTGGATTATGCTTTCTGTTCTTTTGGTACAGATTAGGAAAATAGACTAAATCGAATTAGTAAGATGCACTGATACCATATGCTATCCTGAGAACTTGAAGAATCGTCTTTAGATTTAGATCTTATTTGGGATCGATTTGGGAGAACCCATCTTTTGGGGCTACAGGCTTCAAGAACACCCATTTTTTCTCCTCCTTTGCTTCATGTCTCGTAGGAATGGAGCTAGATCGAAGTGATAATGCTCATACAGTCAAACGAAGGTTACAAATAGCTTTAAGTCTCCCAATCGAAAAAGCTCTCTAACTTTTGGAGACATGGTTTTAAACAACGACCTCAGTGCCATTCGTGACCATTCTCCTCTTCTCTTAACAAGAAGCATCTTACATAAAAGCTCTTCAACTCCATGTTTATCCCCAACCGTAGAGACATCCGCCAAAAAGACCAAAGTGTCCCAGTTGAAATCCTAGGGCATTCTCGTAATTTTTACCAAACAAAACCATTCTTTGACGAGGTTGTGAATGCGATAATCTTCGGGATTGAGCCTTGGTCAACCAGGGTTAAAACGGTCAGCTCGTGTTGGTGAAATCGGTTTCAGAGAAGTAGCAGCTTATCTTCTTGATTATGGCAGGAGATGAGAGAATCGAAGTTAGAAGAAAGATGTGGCGAAGAAGAAGGGTTAGAGGGAGAAAGATGCGAATTTTTAGATGGTAATTAAGAGTAAATTATAAAGACTTTATAAATACATTTGAAGAAGTAATAGCAATAAATGCTTTTAGCTCAGATGGTAAGGTGTATGGTTTGGGAGTGGAAGGCCACGAGTTCGAGTCCCCTCCCATTTTTTCTCTAAAAAAATCAGTTTTTTACATTATAAAGAAAGGGAATACCACATCAGCTCCCACCTCAGCCAAACAGTCCATGTGGCATGCCACCTCAGCAGGTAACCTGCTGTAAAAGGCAAAAAGGGTTAAAGTGATTACAATAGCCGGCTTCCTATCCTTTTTCATTAATAAAATTTAATTTAGGACTAGATCATAAATTGGCCCAAAACTTTGGGACTTTTCCGGATGGAGGTTCGGTGACGACAGATGTCCGAATGGTGGTGAGACGTAAGATGGAGGGTGTTAACCGGTGAAGAAAAGGGGAGTGGGGCGATGGTTTGTTTTCTTTCTTTTTTAAATTAAATAAATTATAATTAAATAAAAAGAAACATAGAAAATAGAAAATAAAAAGAGTAAATAAATTATTTCATATGGATGAAGGACTAACCTTGATAAAAATTAAAACCATTGTTCATGGAAAAAAATTATGGCCTAAACTTAATATTTCTAAAAACCACAAAGACTTTTTTTGAAGATTTATATTGTTTGAATAAAATTTACATTAAATAGGTTGAAATAAACATTTGAAAACATAACTAGAAAGTTTTTTTTTATTATTAGAAAAAGAACTCTAAATTTTATAAAAAAAACCTGAAATTAGACATTTTCGGTAAAAATAGTTACTTTAAAAACTGAAAACAAAATATTTTTTATTAATAAATCGTTTAATATATCCCTAATTATGTGTGACTGCGTGAATGGAATGAAATGGGTAAGGACTTAGGACTGACAATGAATATAAATATTTAACCGGAGGACGATTAGGGTTACAGTGTCCGATGAGCACACCTTCTCTGTAAAATGACGAACCCCAAGAAATCCCGAGAAAGTGATGCAGATGATTCGTTTTCAATCAATCGTTTACCAGATGAAATTATCCTCCAAATATTAAACAAAATAATCGATTTGAAAAGCCTATGCTTTTGTTACCTGGTTTCCAGACGTTTCTCCTCGATTGTACTTCATGTCGATGCCGTTTCCTTCATCGCTCCTTTCAAAGACCCTAACATTCCCGATAAGAACCCCGTCGGTGATGTCTCCCCAAGTAGGTCGTTTCCTCGTAAGCTGTCCGCCCATGGCTTTTTGAGCAAGTTTATTGGAGTGAAGTTTTTATACATCGAACTTCTGTTTTCCGATCAAAGAGCTGTCGATAATCGTTGTCTGTTCAAGTGGAGGGTTAAGTTTGGTAGCAGAGTAGAGTCGTTTGTATTTCTGTCCCCGAATTATGTTTGTGATAATGATGGAATATATCAAATTGGAAAGGTGGATGAAGAAAACGAGTTAATCAGTATTGCACAGCATATTAATAAAAAACGTGTCATTTCGTATCGGTGTCTGAATGATGTGGTTGCGTGGCATATGATGTTGATGAACATCGTTAAGGATCTACCAACGTTGGAAGAGGTTTCCATTACTGATTCTGGGAGAAGAGGGAGGCTTTCTCTGAGTGGGGAAAAACTCAATGAGGTGAAGGAATGGGTACATTCAGCTTCGGAAGCTGAGGTCAATCGTGTAAATACTTCTTTTATAATGACTAACACTTGCATTCCCGTTTTGGAGTTGCCAGTTTCAGGGTATGTGATGAAGGGTATATTTTGTGCTCTATTTGAGAGGGAAGATATCCGGGGGAGAAATGATTTTCTTATGAACAGTGAAGATGGTTTTGAAGATAAAGAAGAGGCTGCATATACTGAAGATGTGATGGATGTTTTGGAGAAGGAGATTATGCAGACGGAAATGCTTAATGCTTTAGGCCTTTAGTATGAATCAGGTCTATACTCTGATCCTCATAATACTCTTGTAAGTTTTTATATTTTTATCTATTAATTTCTACAATACATGTTAACTTACGGATTATTGTGGAATCCATCACTTTTAAACATTTCCATTAACATCTATAGTTGTTATTTGAGTGACATTCATCACCACTTCTTGAAGTAACAAATCAATTACGTTGCATATTAAGACTCTTCTCCTTTTCAAATTGCAATTGAATATCTAATCAATTTAATATTCACACTCAGGTCTTTTGGATGCAGAGAACCTGCTCATTGGTTGTTTAGTCGTATGAAATGAAGTTGTATAGTATAAAGCCGACATGGTTACAGTTTTAAATGTTGTTTCTGCTTTGAAAGTTAATGAAGGCGATGTTGAGGGGTTCCTTCTCTTGTTTTCTTGAATACCATTTGGTTAGTTTTGTGTCCGTAAAACTTGATTTTTTTTTTGAGATTACATAGTTGATACATTGGTCTTTATATAATCAATAAATGTTACTTTGAAAATTTGTAGATTTTGATTAATTAGTATGCATTTGAAAGTTGTTTTTGTTGAAGGGTAAATGTTCGTTCATTTGTCAGAAACGTCAAATTAACTAAAAATTGCGAGACCTCTTTGATTGTGCCTCCGCCGATTTTAGCGCCTTATTCCATTTTGAATCTAGCATAACAATCTCCCATATTTTTTCAAACTCGAAAGTGTGCCCCATTTCGACTTGATATTGTTCCCTCGCAACTTTTTACACATCAAAATCATTTACATCACTTTGCATTTGCAATTCTAGTCTCATGAAAATCCCATTAAACTTGGTGCACTGATGACTGATCGGAGTCCACTTGCTACTAAGCATGTCGATATTGCAATATGGTTGTTTCTTCATAAGCGTGTGGAATTTGCCGAGCATGACTTCACAAAACCCAACTCTTCGCATATCATTTCCTACAGTTGGACTCTATGAAGTCTCACACCACGCCACCGCCAACGCCAACGTGTACTCCTCCTCCGGTGTCCACCATAGTGGAGGTTCTTTTTCACTCGTCGCGACTGCCTTCCCTTTCCCTTTCCCTCTCCCTTTTCGATTGTCTTTTGCTTGTGTTTCCGGAACAGTTTCTGGGGGTGGTGGTTGTGTGGTTGTTTGTTGCATGGAAGTGAAAGTATTGAAAATGTTTTGTTGCATGTAAAGGGATGGATTAAAAAAAGTTCCCTTGAAGCGGTATGTATGGTGAGTTTGAATTGAGTTGGTTCATATAACTCCCGTATTATGCGAACCCCATCGGGATGGATGTGTTTGTGTTTGGAGGCGGGTTGTTCGGGTTTTGCTCCATATTTGGTTGAAAGGAAAAGTGTTTTTTTTTAAAGATGAAAGAAATATGAAGATGAGAGAAAATTTTTGTGTTTAAAAATTATATATATGTGTGTATTTATATGTAAAATAAAAAAAGTTAATTTTTTTTTTACCTCTAGACCGTTTCACAACGGTCATATTTTTTATCGTTTCACCGACGTTACACATCGTTATGGTGTCAATGGAGGGCAATGAAGTCGAAGACAATGGACGAAAATGAAATAGGGGACATTGTTTTGCAGTGGCCACGACGTTTTCGTAATGCCACGTCAGAAAAACGAACGAGGGCGTTGCCCACACCCCACACTCTAAAATGTACCATTAGGGGTGAGCGTTAAATTATTGTTTAAAATGTACCATTAATTAGGGGTCATAGTTTGGATTGGTTGGACCGGCTTGGACCAGGATATTGGTTTTGAGAATACAGGTCGGTTATCGGTTTGTCATATGTGGCTTAATTGGTTCCGATTTGTTTGAGTCACCAGTTCCGGGTAAATAACCGGGACCGATCCAGAATTTGTTTAAGCATTGCCATTTGTCTTATATTTAAAACTTACATAACTCCTTCATTTGAATTGGAATGACAATTTTTTTTTCTCAACATGTAGTTTAATGCTTCTACTTCGTTTTACACAATATAAACACCTAATTTGGTTATATATTTATTGAATTATAGGCCCGAGAACACAATGTATTAAAGATGAACAAATCAGATCATGCTTCACAGAGTTGTACCTACAGTTAGCTAGTTCAAGTTGTATCAGGTCCAAACGGATAAATAAACGGAAAACTGTGACCGGTCCACTCGATTTCACTAAACAGGTTTTGGACCGGTTTGGTCCGGATATTCGTCCCTACATTAATATCGGCTAAACAAGCAATACCCTTAATAATTGTACATTTCAATCAATATTATCGACTTTAAGATGCTAATTTGTACACTTAAAATGATAATGGCCAATCATATTAGTTTACATGAAAGGACAAATGTTTCTCGTAAATGTCATTAAGCCAATTTTTGTCCTAAGGACCTAGATTTTTCTCATTAGCATACATAGCATCCGATCCACCCTAGGCTATAAGACATCACACAAATAAGGAAATTCTAGCATACGATTGTTGAAGATATCCTTAGCCGTACTCTTGCATGCAATTTCACATAACAAGCATACTAGTCAAAATACTTAGGTATGGGTATTTTGGAAATCATTTACTTGAGCTCAACTGATTGCACGTATTGCACCCATTTTCTTTGTAAAAATCTTTTTAGAAAACTCATTTTTTTTTGAAAAGATGATCAACCCCTCAGTTTGAGTTCTGACACACCGAGGGTGTGCCCGAATCCCTCATCCAAAGCTCTGATACCAACTTGTAACATCCCAAATCCAATGGTAAAATTTTTATTTTTTAAACACCCAAAATACAACCAATTTGTTCCAAACAACCATAGTACAAAGTATTCTCAACATCAGAGTGAAATCAAAAGTCAATGCAGAATAAAATCAATGGGGATATTGTGCGATGACGTCGGGACCTTCCCTTTCGAACCGGAAATACCTGAAAATGTTAAACCACAAAACCGTAAGTACAAAGCTTAGTGAGTTTCCCCAAAATACCACATGTCATACATACATTGCCATAGGTTACCCATATGGTCTTGCATACAAATGCTATGGACTACCCCATGGTCTTTTAGTACCATGGGCTGTCCCCATGGTCTTTCATTGTAGTGCCTTGGCTACCCCAAGGTCTTACACACAAGTGCCATGGGCTACTCCCATGGTATTTCATACAAATGCCACGGGTTACCCCCGGGGTCTTCCATGCAAGTATCACAAAGACAACTAGCATCCTACATAATACAATCCAATGTGTCGACATTGGTGCCTTCGACCCATGAGTACAGTGAGAAGACTCACCTCGATCCGAAGATAAATAAATCTCACACTCAAGCTGCCAAAACTGGAACTCCCCACACTAATCAATACACTATAGGAACCTAATTAGAAATCAAAGCAATAATTCACACCCAAGGGTCTTAGTCCATAATCACTCTCTCTTTCTGGGTAAAATACGACTTTACCCTTCCATGGCCATAATCCACCCAACTTGACCTAAAACCCATTTTGACCAAAAATCCACTTCTGGGCTACACCATGCAAATCATGATCTACGCCCAACATAGAGCCTTCAGATAGAATCATAACAAAATCAGGCTACGTCCTGCGTAGCCAAGATTACGCCTGCGTAAATGCTCTGATTTGCCAACTTCTATTAAGTCCTTAATCCACAAGGACCAAACGTTCAACTCTCAGATCTGGTCTCAAATAACATCCTAAGTGATAAAGTCTTCAACTTTATGCCTTTGCATGGCTTAATGGAGCATAATACCAACCCCTAAGTCCAAAACACACTTCAATGCCCAAAGACACAAGCATGAAAGGATGGGAGTGACCAAACTACCATTTTTATCACTCTACAAGCTCATAATGATGGAAAATGCCACTCATCAGTTCTGGAGTAGCTCATACTCACTTGGACCAATGTCAATGAACAAAAAGCTCATAAAACTCATAACTAGCTAGATCTATCAAATGAGTCATCAAGGTTCAAACTTTATACCTCCTGGAGAATGTTGAAGAAGAGTAGAGTCTGGATCTACAAGCTATGGACTCCTAAGTACACCTTCAATGGTCTCCTTCTTCACAAAAAAACATAAAAATGATCACTCAAATGCTTCAAAGATCACACCACGGGGCTATGGTTTCGAGGTTAATGAAGGAAATAGTGAATGATGAATATGGATAGGGTCTCAAAGAGTTAAGGTCCTTAAATAGGGCTCACAATCCCACAGTTAGGGTTTAAACCATTCACACTTACGCCCTACATAAATATGTCTACGCCCTGCGAAAGGCATGAAACCCTCGCAAGGACTTGTTGACCTACGCCATGAGTACGTGTTTACTTATGCCCTGCGTAGGACCAATTTTCCCCAAATACAATAAAACTAAGACTTTAATGAGACTTTAACTAAGACTTTAATAATACAAGAAATGTACCTGAGGAAACGGGTGTTACACATCAAGAACCCTAATGGTAACCTATTGTAATCGAAATGTACATAGGATTAGGGTTACATACCTTTTGATTATTGTAGCAAATAATCACACCAATATCCTTCTTGAAAACCTTGGAAAACAAGCACCAAAAGCTTAGTGCCTCTAATGGTTTGTACCCAAACCCTAGCAACTAGAAGACAAGAGGAGAGAGGAGAGGGGAGAAGAATTTCTACTATTCTCTTAGGAGTAGGAGTGGACGAAAATGAGGCACCCAAAGGATCCAATTTATAGCTGATAGGAAAACCCTGGAAACCCTAATCTTGAATAAAATAATAATATTTCAAATTCAAAATATTATTGTAACGCCCCGAAATTCAACCCAAAATTTTCATTTAAAAATTT